CCCAAGACTAGTTTACACAAGAGATTTTCGAAATTTTTAAATTTTTGAAATTTTTGTGATGATTATAGTTAAGTAAGGGAGAGATCATGGTATCGTTTATGTTGTAACAATCAACAATGTCTAATTTTTCTAACTTTGAGCAATACTTTAAAATGTCCCATTTACAACATCCATCAAAATCGATACCTCGAAATCCAACATGTCGTAATGTACGTTTTTGTTTTTCCAAGGATGGAATTATAATGTTGGCGAATTTTTTACATCTTGATAAAATTATACGTTTAAGTCCTCGTTGATTTTCTATGAGTAATGCAAGTTTTTTTGCGACGAGCATTGAGGATCCATCATTCACGCTCAAGTTATTAATTCTAATTGTATTCTTGGAATGATTAAAAATTAACATATTAGTAAATCTTAAATAATATGATTGCAAAAAAAACTTGTACGTATAAAAATATATAAAATATATATATATCTACACATATATATATCTATCTATATATAAAATAAATTAATATATACCAAATGCTGACATTGCTTGATGAGAGCACCCAAGAGATTGGCCTTTGGACAACTTTCAGGGGTATTTAATCTATCAATTGAATAACAATTGATGTATAAATTTTTTAATGGTTTTATCAAAGGACAAATCGAGGGTTCAGTCAATAGCATATATTTTTCTTCACAACTAGTACTTCTAATACTCAAGGTGTTCAAGTGAGCAGACCTCGCGACAAATAATTTTAAAATCGATCGCAAAATTGCAGAAACACTTTCTTCGGTACCATCCTCTAAGTAAAATCTACACCAACTTTTTACAAATGAAATCATTTCATAATAATCAAGATTTTTTAAAAAGGTTGGATAATTAAAAACGGGTAAATCATATTTTCCACCAGGGACATATACACCATCGTTATATAATTGTTGACGTTCAGAATTGTCAAGACAAGATAGAAATGTTTGAATTAAAAGTTCTCCACCTCGTTTATGACAACGATGAAAAGGATGACGCCAAAGGATGGGTATAACACTTTCACACCAGTGACTATTGACTAGTAAACATGAAAACAAGCTACTATAAGTTTTAGGATTCGGTGAACCAAGAATTTCATCTCGGTCATCCAAATATTCAAAAACTTCAGAAAGAATATCAGATATCAACATGAAAATTTACTCTATATTTATATATATATATATATATCTTCAATATTTCTATAAAAAAAAAAAAAATTATTTGACAAGATGTCAAGAATAAAAAAGAAAAGAAAAAAAAAAAAGCAAGGGTCTATTAAATTTATTATAACATTTTCTTTTGAGCAGTAAAGTGCTCGGACAATGTTTGTTAAATCAGCATCAAAATTTATTCAATTTATTCAAATATCAGGTTTATGTAATAGCGCGCTAAGATACACAAAGTTTCCAAATATATAATGTCAGAATGTAATTAAAATACGAGAAAAAATTTTTTACAATATTCACAATACATCACAATACTTTTTTTTCATTTATTTATTTATTTATTTAATTTTTTTTTTTGTTATATAAAGATTAGCAACACAGATACTATTTTAACAAATCAAACGGTTGAATAGGATTAGTTTATGTGGCAAAATGGAGGGGACAAAGACTCTACAAGAAGAAATTGATCCCCAACCCGCGCCAAAGTTTTTTTATGATAAATTTTTTTTTTTTATGCGGGGTAAAATAGGTCAGGTGGCCATTGTACATACTCCACTGGGCTTAATGCAGAATCATAATAGTTTTTGATAATGGGCGTTTTTCCCCTTTCTTGACTAATCATTTTAACTGATTTTTGCATTTTTTTAAAGAATACCTATCAAGACTAGCATTTAGAAACGAATAATCCGTACCTAACAATTAAAGCAAGAAAGATATAGTAATATACATTTACTTTTCATACTTTGTTGTACATAAATGCGTGTGTAATGTCACCATACGTATTTTCAAATAAATGAAAGGATTCTTCTCTGAAAAGAAGCAAAAAAAAGGCTGGTGCAAAAAACGCTAATGCATCGA